TAAATAGGACTAGATGGCTCCTCCAACATGTTTTCCAACCAAATATCAAGACCATCGCCATCATCATTGTCGGACTAACCGGGATTGATGACCACTTTCGTATCACGGGCGCGGTAGGGCACGCCGTAGGCAATTGGCGCGCGGACGGTGGCTGGGACGCATGGGGCCTGGGCAGCGAGGACGCGGAGAGCGTTGGGCGCGCAAGTGAGGACGACGCGGGCAACGCCCTAGGCCAGGTAGGCGTAGGAGTGACGGGCGACTGGGGAGAAGACGAACCATGCTGTGCGAGACTAGGAGAAGCTGAGGAGGTGGAAGACGCGTGCGAGGCGCGCGCGCGTGATGCCGCGCGCGACAAGGAATAGGCGCGCGAAAGGTCGGCGCACGCACAAAGGCGGTTAGGGCGACGGGCGTGCGAAAGGCGGCCGAAGTACTTGGGCATGTGATGGGACTTGTTTGGAGTGCAAGCCAAGCAAGATCAAGATCTAGTCAATTTAGGACTTTGATATATTTAGTTTCCTTCTTGCACAATAGTATCTAGAATGTTTAGGAAGTTAATATTTTATTGCTTTAATATGTTTCCTAGGTAGATTAGAATTAGTAGTAATTAGGATCTATAAATAGGGATGTTCCCTCATTGTTTTTGAGGTCCAAGAATGATGAAATAGAAAAGAACGTTTGTTCGAAACCGTGTGTTAGAGTCGTGAGATTCGATCATGCAATCGAATTGGTGAGGCTAAGACCCAAGCCAATTCAACGATTTAGAGAGGCTAAGACCCGATCTATTTCGAGAGTGTAGCGAGGCTAATACCCGAGTGAACTCAAGTATCGTGATAGAGTTAGGCTAATAACCGAGTCGATCATACCTATCGTCGAGAGCAAGGTCGTGGCGAAGCCGTGATCGAGACAAGTCGAGGGAACGCAACACCCGATCCGTCATCATTGGTGCTTTCATTGAGTGTGATCGATTGGGTGTTCGTGAACTTTTTCTATCCCATTCTTTTTCTTTTTTGGTTCGATTTTTTTGGTTTCTCTTGTTCGAAATTTTTCGAAATTTCGTGAGTCATGAAAAAAAAGTGTCATCTAGTCCTTTTGTTTGATTATTTTCGGTTATTACCTTTTTGTTGAAGGTGCCGAATTTCTCTTCTTTTTGGGTCGAAACTTTCGAATTCTTGTTCGAATTTTTCAATTATTTTTCGATTTTTTATAGTCTTAAAAAAAAAATTATCATGTCTTATGTGCCAATGGACGAGATGGATTGGGAAGATCTCAAACTATTGGAGAGTTTGGAGAGAGAACTTACCCCATGGGAGGGCACATATCTAGACGAGCACCATGAGCGAAGAAATTGAGAAGAGTACGAGCGACAACTCGTGGAAGGACAAGGAGCAATGGTGGGTGAAGTTCAGAATGGTGAAGATGATGGTGCGCTCAATTTTCTAATCCTTGAGGACAAGGAAAGTCTTGAAGAGGAGGGGAATGATACGGAAGTGGTCATCAACCCCGGCGAGTCCGACGAGGAAGGGGACGATGGTCTCGACATATGGCTGGAAAACATGCTGGAGGAGCCGACAAGTCCAATATACCGGCCATCATACGTACGAGATTGGCCAAAAGGGTGTGGTCCGCAATCTAAGCTTAAAACTAAGAAGCGCAAGACCAAACGAGCACGAAGGAAGCGCAAGGCAAAGGCTAAGGAATCATACTGTTGGTGCAAGCCTTGTACAAGGAAGAGACGAGCACGAAAGAAGGAGGCTAGAAGGCGTGGGTTGCGATGGGAGAAAGATGGATGGTGGATACCGGCCGATGATTGTGAGAGGTTAAAGGGTTGGGACCCATGGCCCGAACAAACGGTGACGAGCGGCGACAAGAAGGTTGATGGCGACCGGCTAATGGGCGAAGGGTGCGCATCGGCCCATGATACGCGCGGTTGGACGGAGCAGGATGATGTACGCGGGAGTTCGGTTGGCAGGCAAGTCACGGACGTCGACTGGGACGCATTGGCGTTCGGTGGCGTGATGTCGGGGAGCGATAGGCGCGCGGGTGAGCGGTCCACTGGCGAGGGAGGTGCGTGCAACGCAGCGGGCGCACGGGGATGCGCAGGAGACGATCAGAGCCCGCGGGCAAGGGAGGCGACGCGCGGAGTAGCGTGCTGATACGGAAGTGGGTTCTGGACCCCTGTGACAAGAAGGGCCGAGGACCAAGAGGACTCAAGGAGGCTGGAAAAAGGGCCAAAACGATGCATGCATGGCCTAAAAGACGGGTACAAGCTCGTATGCGAGACACTCACGCACATGATAAGCGGCGTGTACAAGGCAATAGACAAGGGCGCGCACTTAGCTCGGTGCTTGCTTACGTGCGTGCGTGCGCAAGAAAAATATCTTAAACTAGCTTAACTTTGCTAACTCGTGGCTTAGTGTATGCTTAAGTAGAGGCTGAATTTTTTTACCATACTCCTCATGAATATATAAGGACGGATGGTAAGTGAAATTGGGTGAAAATATGAAGAATTTTCCTAGCCAATGAAGTGTTGACACTTGCTACATGCTTAGGGCCTAAGGTGGCATTTTACTAGCTTAGTCATCATTTAACATGTTTAGTCATCACATAGGAAGCTAAGGAAAGGCCACATAACCTAAGTAACCATGATGATGCTAACGTGAATTTGGCCTCCAAACTTTTGGCCATTAGGGAGCTAAACATGGCGTAAGCTTGCTTTGCACTAAATTAATGAACCATTGAACTTAGCTATGCCTAACCGCACGTCAATGGAATTTCTTGGCACTTTAGCACGCATTAATCATAATACAACACCATTTGCAAACTCTTTCGGTAATGCACGGTGCTTAGCTCATGCTTAAGCATGATTAGGCTCGGAATTGATCTTAACATGTGATTGAACATGGATTAACTTATAATGCATGAAATTAATTATTTAGAAATTATTCCGAGCATATACATTATTTCGAAACTTAATTCGAACGTTCTTTACTTGACCTCAATAATTCCAAACTCATTTATTATATAAATGGATTGGAATTAAATCTGAAAATATATTCGGTTATTGAAATAATTAAACCGAATACTTAATCAACTACTAGTCGAACTTAAAACCGAAACTGAATAATTGGCTTGAGACTCGACTTTTTATGGTTAATCAAATATTCCCAATTTAATTAATATGTCAACATTAAAATAATAAATCATAACTTGCTACTGTCCATTTATTAAATAAATGGACTGAGATTAATTATTATCATTGACTCGGTTAATAAAATTAACCGGATATACTTTCAACTTATCGCCGAACGTGGAATTTAACTGACTGAATAACTCAACTTGAACATTGACATAAATATTTATTAACAAAGGCTAGCATAAATTTAAAAGCTAGTATTTTCCTTTATTAATAAAATTTGGGGCGTTACAATCCACCCTCCTTCAAATATTTCCGTCCTCGGAAATACTAAAACTGAACGTACAAGCTTAACTCGAAGCTTATACTTACCGATGGCATAACTGAGAATTCAATAACTGAATACTAAACTTTAAACTCTGGTTCGAACTGAAAAATCACCAATTCACAAATTAAGTGAATTGTTGATTAATACTGGCTGAAAAGAGACACCTTACTGAATAAAAGTGTCCCATTGATTATACTTGATATTAAAGGCATAATTTCTTGAGCACACTAGTCATTACCTCCTGGTTGATTTTTGATCTTCGGTCTGGACTTTGGTTGTGAAACCTAAGTCGTGTGGTACACATGGAAGATTTCAGAGATACGCACATGTACAAATGAGGATAACTAGCAATCTCAGTAACTACCTTTCGTGAACATCTACTCGATAACGCGGCACATCGTTCGCAGCACATTGCAATACGGCACGCCCGCTCCTCATCTAGTGAGTGCGGCACGCCTGTATGCAGCACCTGGCGAATATTGCACCTGCGATGTCGACGTAGTCTGTATAACTGGTCATATTTGTATCTCAAGCTAGTAACCTCAATGTACTATAATGCTAACTCCCCGTGCTTTCCCAGTGTACTATGACTCAGGCATGGCATCCTTCTCTTCTTGCGACATGCGTCCTTGAATGGAAAGCTCCGGTTGTCTCCACGACATTGGTTGTTGCTATGGTTGATTGGCCTTTCTCCGTCATAAACATGTTGTTCCTGCAAATCTTTACCTTCCCTGAGGCCAAACTTAACCTCAAGAAAAGTCTATCATGAACTAATCTTTTCTACGATTTCTCAAATTTCAGAATTTGAGAATCGAGGCATTGGACATGCTTGAAATGACTGATAAGTCTTGTCTTATTAAACAGACCATCCTCAACTTTGACATGACTAGCCTTAATATTCACATAACTGGATAACCCTTACTTGACTTTTACATGACTTATAACTCTTATTGGAACTCTGGAAATTATTCCGAGACAATTAAATGGTTGTCTCGGAACTGGAACATGACATTTACTAACTTACTGTAGCTTGATAAGGTGCGACTTCAAGTTTCCAGGTAAATTTGGAGTAATAATCTGTACATCAGACCTCCATATTTCACCCGGCTTAGTAACTATTATACGTTGACCTTAAACTCATGAACATTGACTTTAAATCGTGAACATTGACTCATGACTATGTACTGTATAGGGTTGTTCCAGTATCATCTGGTCCCGCAAGTACAAAAGAAATAACTGATCTTGAACTTTGGCAACCATAACTTGGAATATCAAACTGATAGAATACATGACATAACTGACTTTAAAGGTTGTTATTACATGAAATTTTACTGTTCCGGTCTCAGCTTCAAGCCTCCATGGTATACCCGGCTGAGTGGCTCTTATTTCAAGCCTCCACGGTAACCCGAAATATTGACTCTTATAAACTGGAAACCGTTAGTTCTGACAATAGTTTAAGAAATGTAACAACCTTTAACATGGAAATATAGCTCTTAACTTGATTTTCTGATCTGGCTTAGGAAATTTGAGTCTATTTCCTGATCTAACTCAAGGAATTCCTCCCTGGAATGTGCTAACTGGTTGGCAATAATGAGCAATTTTGATAGAAAAATGTCTGAGGAACATGATTGCTAAGATTTGTACAACATAAGTGCATACAAATCTCTTGAGAGTAACATGACCTGAATAAATCTAGAATTTAATCTAGAGTTCTCAAACTTAACCCATTTCTAAGGTTCTGAATTCTGATTCGAGCATCCTTACGGATTCTAAGATCATATATTGACATCGTACTGAGCATAGACATAGTAATTTGTTTATAATTTAAAACATAAATCAGCACTAACCTGTAGTCGGCGGGGTGTGAGCGTGACGTGTTCAGGTTTTCTGAAAACTTTCTGCCTTATAAAGTATTCAGATACACAAAAACATGCTCTGATACCAATTGTAACACCCCGCTTTTCCATAAATATCAGAGTGCATTTTTCGCAAAACAATCCGTTTAAAAATACTGATTAATTTGCGAAATCGTGATTCGGAGTGCTACCGTAACCATAACCTTACTTTGAAATCTGTTAATTTTAGTTTTAAAGGAAAACGGACTAACGTGATATAAACAATCCGACTAGTCATCGGATCAAAATACTAAGTTTGACAAACAGTGAAATCAGCAGAAAACGTAGCGTTTACTCCACTACGGGAGATAGTAACAGCACCGCTATGCCAAATTTAAACATATAATCAAAATCCTGAACCGCCCGCCAGCTCATGCCTCTGGTTCGACTCCGTGACCTGAAAAACATAGATAAACATGGGGCGTGAGCACTAAATCCACTGTGCTCCGTAGGAACTCATACTAAACTAAACAGTGAAAATAATTGCAATATCATGATCCTGGCATATACATAACCTGAACATGAAACTGGTACCTCATAATCTTAACCTGATAATCATCACATGACCGTTACCTCATTTGTCAGCATAAAAATGTCGGACACCATGTGCACACTCTAGTGGGCAGACTAGGGCCACTAGAACCCAGAATGGACCGGCGACCATTCCAAGCGGATACATGACATGATAATACATACCTCAAACATGGTAGAGTAATTATAATCAATGTAATACCCAGTCTGAGTCCCCACCTGATCCGTCGATATGAATAGTGCTGATAATAGTAGCCTGATCAAACTGAAACATAATATAAACAATTACTAAATACTATGCTCAGACTGATTCAAATAGCTGTTTAATATGTTAAGATGCTCAACTGGAACTTGACATGACATCTAAACTTAACTGGTATAACTGGAACCGGCTTAACATGTAACTGGACTGACATGAATTTACTGAACTGGACTGGACTCGGAATTTAACTGAAAATTGGTCGTAAACATGAATCAGAACATTAAATATTAAATCATGAATTAAACCGGTCGGAATCGGCCGGTTTGCGGTCTGGCCGGACTGTCGGCTCACTGCGGCCGGGCGGTCGGCCGCTGGCTGGCGACTGGCATGGTCGTGTATGCGCACTA